AGCCTCAAGCCCTTTCCTCTCACTCGGAAGTGGCTCTGTACGGGCACGGTGTGTGCTGGGCGATCCCGGGGCTCTCCCGCGCTACTCCAGGTCCCGGCGGGCGCTAAGCGGGGCCGAACGGTGTGTGGGGATGGGGGAGCCCCGGGTGTGCGCTGGGGGTGGGGGGTGATGCCCGGCGCGCACCACGAGGGCGGCAGGGCCGAGCGGAAGCGGTGGTGAGGCCAAGGTGACTCCGGGGACCTTTGCTGGGTTGGAACTGTTACCTTTTTTTCTACTTAAACAACGCGAAGAGCGGAATTCAGCGTTTGTCTGGGTTGTTCTTTCGTGGTTCTGTACCGAGCGGGCCGCGGAGCTGCACCCGTGGGATCACGGTACCCTGGGGTTCAAGGGGTGTTGGAATTTCCCCTCCACCCCATGCTGTTTTAAATAACCTTTAACTACCTCTCTGCTTTAAAGTTTAGCTCCAAAGTACGTTTTTATTTTTTTTCTTTAAATACTTATCTTAATAATATCTTAATAAATCTATTTTAAATAGTTTTCTGGTTTCAGCTCCAAGTTATTTTTTTTTCCTGCCTTTTATATGCATTTATATCGCTGTGACTAATTCATTGCTCCTTCTTTGGTGTTTTGTTAATGGTTAGGCAGCAGTGCCATCATGATCCTGCGACAGATCTTGCGGCTTTCCTCCCTTTTCCACTCTGCTGTGTCCATTCACTTGCGCAGGAACATTGGGCTCTCTGCGATTGTCTTCAACAAGACAAAAGAACTCGACCCGGTTCAGAAGCTCTTCTTAGACAAGATCAGAGAGTACAACACGAAGAGCAAGTAAGTAAAGGAAACTGTCTTAAGGAGGGTGTTGATGGCAAAAAGGGAAAATCTGTTGATTTTGACATAAAAACATCAGACATTAAGTGTTTGATTTATGACAATTTGGTAGTTTTGTAGGCTAGTCTGTAAATATTCAAGGTGTGTTTCTCTGCAACACTTAGCGATGGTTTCACTAGTGGAAAGCTTATTCCCTTTATATCTAATAGAAAATAGCAATTTTTCCTGGGTAGTTAAGGCACACAGTTAAGGTCTGTTGCACACTGCATGAATGTATTGGTATATTAATTTTTACCCATATACATGCTCTGTAAATAGGGCAAAAAAAGCCAAACAAATCCTTTCTTTGTTTTTTTTTTTTTTTTTCAGCTGGGGAAAACAGTCATTATGTAGTCTTGTTTCCAGAAGCTGAATGGAAATAGCCTCCAAAAGCAATTGAGAATTAATGGAATTACCAGGATGGTTCAATTAACATCTTCAGTTAATAAGCAGTTCCTTCAAGTGGAATCTTAGATTCTTGTAATGTTTGAATGAACTACTGACCAGGAAACTAAAATTGCAGTAATTCTGTGTAATTTATTCTTGGGAAGTATTCCTGGGAAGGAATTAAGACATTTCTTAGCTCTACTGGTGGAAGATGTGTGTATCCTTACCTGCAAACGCATCTGTGTAGGGAGGCAGATATTTGGTGGTTTTACCAATTCTAAGCGTGGATCCTGTGCTGGCACAACTGAGTGCTGGCAATCTAAAGAGTTACTATTTTAGTTATCTGATGTTTGAATCCCAAGAAGCTCCCTTGGAGGTGGGAGTTTTTTCCTTCTTCAGCATTCCAAATGCATTTCCCTGGCAAGAATTGTTAGGCTTTACTAACTGGGATAACTAATTCAGAGATAGAAGAGGTGAAAATCACAGTTTTGTTAGGAATTCACACCTGGAACAAACAAAACTAAAAGCCCTGAGAACCTTCATACCCATCAGTGTTTTTGCCTCATAAGACCACCTTTTGTCTCAAATGGCTTGGATTTTCATCACTGATAGCAGAAAACCTTTACTTTACCCGGAGAATCTTGTTTATATGTAAGGTAAGGAGGCCCTAAGGTGTCATATCTTGAGTTTTGGAAATACTTTATTTCATTTGGTTGATTGTTGAAAATGTTTTAATTCGTAAGTGGGCTTGAAAAGGTAGAATTTTCCACGTGAAATGTTAGAACTGAGTTGTTAATGACAACTTTTAATGTTTATTAGGCAAGCTGGAGGGCCTGTTGATGCAGGACCTGACTTTCAAAAAGATATGAATGAATCCCTTGCAAGACTTCAACGGGCGTATGGTGAGGGAGATCTCACCAAATTTCCAGAATTTAAGTTTGAGGGTGAGTTAACAATCTTACTGAATTCTAATTGGAAGTAGAGACATGTTCACTCATAGGTTTTTTTAATTCTCCTTTAGTTTATATCCATACCATTAATTTTGTGTAAAATGCCCTCTGGGAATCTTATGCTTTTGAATAGTTCACATCTGTTTCCATGTGACTTCTATTTTGATTGTTTGCCTTTTTTAGCAGAGATGTGATCTTCCTTATACTAATGATTAACAAAACTTGAATTCAGATCAGGCTATCTTAATTGTCCTTCAGACACCCTAAGAAAGAGCTCAAATAGAAATAGCCTCAGGTCTGTATTTTTCTCATCTTGCCAAAGAGACTAGCAGACTATAATGTGAATTTCAGTTAGTCTTAACATCATCCAGAGTGACATTTTTGATTTTGTAAACTCCTCTAGAAAGCCAGTGATTTCAGAAAATTAACATAGGACTTAACTTTCTTAAAAATGTTTTTTGGGTAAATTATATTAAACCTTTTTCTTCAGGTATTTGGATATGACTTTTGTTTAACTGCTCTAAGTTCGTTTAGCCTAGAAGAGAAAGGACACAACATGAGGCTTGGTTGGTATCTGGCAGCCAGCCAAGGCTAAGCCACCATAGTCAGCAAGTTGTAGTTCTGATCAGACTGTCTGGGAGTTCTAATTTAGACTAGGAACACACCTGAAAATGTTTTGGGTTTTGATAATACTTCAGCTGGGTAAAGTTGGTGTCAGGTTGCACCAACAGAGTACCTGTAAAGTAGGACCTATATTTTTTCTTTTTTCATTTTTCCACAATTTTAGGGATGTAGTTTCTCTATATTCAGTTTTATTTGTGTGTCATATGTGAAACAATGCATATTTAAATTTTACTTGTTTTTGTAAGGAAAAAGAATTTGTGTGACCATAGGAATAGAGCAAAGTACAGACACAACGTGACTATGTTCTTTTGCCACTGTTGCCTATCCTTGATCTAATTTCAGTTAGGTTTCAAATTGTAATTATATGAGTAATTATATGGGTAGAAACTTCAATTTTTTCGCCTTAGGGATGCTTGCTATAAAGTGAGCCTTGCCTCTCAGACTTTGTACTAAAGACAGCAGGCATTAGTGGCCCAGGTGCCCAAAGTCCTAACCTTTGTGAGCTTGTACCTCTGACACCAAGAACTCCTTGGTCAATGTTTCCATGTGGAGAGTATTTAGTTGAGTTGAAATTGTCTGCTTCTCTCTGTTAATATACACTGATAATACATTAAAGAAGGGGAGAGAAGAGCTTGATTACTTGTTCTTGTATCAGAGCTATGTTGGAAATACTCTGGTTGACTTCTTCAGTTTCTCTGCTGTGAGGTGTTGCTAAAAGCTGTTTTGGCAGAATATTACTGAGGCTTAGCCTTTATATATATACTCTTGCAAGGTGAAAAAGACCTGTCTCCAGCCCAGTTACAGTTTACTGCTGCCCACATTTAATCAGTAAGTAGGTGCATAGACTGCAATTTACTGCTTTAGCCAATGTAATGGTTAGTTTTCTTTGAATTACAAATTAATTGTGGTGTTTGAAGATGGAATAAAAAGAGACTAATAGGATTTTTCTCTTTCCCATTCCTCCTATAGAGCCCAAGTTTGAGGAGACTCCAAAGTGATCTCTGCAGCTTGTACACCGAACAGCAGTGTACAGCCATGGAGTTGCTGAACATGGCACCAGTTGTAATTTAATAAATGTAGTGCTTCAGTTTGATTTCAGTGGTGTGGAGAAGCTCTTAACTGCATGGTGAGCATAGCTAGCTGTGATCATCAATTCTTACATGACAGAGGCAGCTGAGTAGTGCTGCTTAATGTTAACTGCAAAACTCCTTTGTGTACTATGTTTTAATGCTTACATATTATAACACTCATAATGATATACCAGAAAGGAACTACTTGTTCTATTGAGTTTATCCAAAAGGCTTCTGCAGGAAAAAAAACTCCATGAACCTTAAGTCTGTAGCAAATCCCTACAGTATTGATGGAGCCTGCATAGCTGAAAGCATAGGCATGAATGCCCAAATTCTACACTGCATCAATGAACACAAAGGTGATGAAGTTCATCTTCCAGAAGAAACTGAAATCTGCCTAAGAGGTTGTAAGGTGTGAATTTTTGTGTCTGAACTACTGACAAAAACACTTCAGCTTCTGAGGAGCCATTTGGTTATAATAATTATTATCTGAGAAACTACATAAACACTTCAACAGTTTGAGTCTACATACTACAGTTTGAATTGTATTGACATGATTTTTCTTCAGAATGAAACTACATATGCAGTCTACAGAAAGGGAGATTCCACTTTAGACATTGAAACACTGCTTGAGCTTTAATTACAGGAAGTTTTATTTTGTCAGCATAGTGAGTTTACTTCTGCACAGCTACACACTTTGGAAGTGTATCAGATTTGCCAAAATCATCTCTTAAGTCCTAGTAAACCAGAATTGCAGGAAAAATTGAGCCCTTGACAATGATTGAGACACAAGTAGTGAGGTCATCTATGAAATTTATTTGAACAGATTGTTCCAAGCTGCAAGAGTGAATCCTGTATTGCTGCATGTACATATGAACAAAATGAGAAGCTTTCACACAGAACTAAATTGAACATACAAGCTAATCTGTAAGTTTTTTTGGGGTTATTTTTTTTGAAATGCCATCACAGCTAGGTTGACTAAATATTGGCAGTTTCTGTTTTCAGCATGTAAGACATTGAAACAATATTTACAGAGCAGAGGTCAAAAGATCTCTTGGTGTTGTGGTTTAACCCCAGCTGGCTACTAAGCATCTCACAGCCTCTGGCTCACTCCCTGTCCCCTCCCCCTATGGTAGGGAAGGGAATTAGAAACAAAACTCATGGGTTGAGATAAAGCAGTTAAACAATTGAACCAAAGTAATAGTAAGGGAGAGAGGAGAAAACCTGAGAAGCACAAGTGATGCACAGCCCAAGTGCTCCTCACCATTTCCTGACTGATGCCCAGCCTGTTCCCCAGCAGCAAATGGCCCCTCCAGACCAACTTCCCCTCATTTTATATACTGAGCATGATGTTCTTTATCACTTTGGCCAGTTCAGTCAGGGTCCTGGCCCTGTTCCCTCATGGACTGAACACTTCACAGGCAGAGCATCAGACAATGAAAAGTGTTTGACTCAGGGTAAGTACTGCTGAGCTACAACTGAAACAGTGTGTTACTGACATTTTCATACCAATTGAAAAAAACCAGCTTTGTTCCAGCTACTAGAAAGAAAATTAACTCCCAGCTAAGACTAGAAAAGTATCAGCTGCTTATTCCATAACATGTCATGCCAGATCCTACACTTTCCAATACACCACCACCTTTCCCCTCTTATAGATGCACACACAGATACCATTTCCTTAATCTGTAGACAATCCCTGTGGAAGTCCATTGAATTCATTTAGTCCATGACTTTTGGCTTATGACAGTCATGACTTAGGACTGTCATAAAGTTTTTCAGGGCAGGAAAGAGGGTGTCTGGTGTTGGATTGTTGCGTGTTGAAGCCAGTTCTGATTCCATCACTGCTCTGCTTGTCCAGTTACATTAAAGTTCATTCTTAATGTGGCTGTGGAAGGGGAGTTGGGTTCCTATCCTCAAAGCTGGAAGGGTGGAGACAGGCACCATGAGGTATCCAGTGCAATGATTGGCATGCAGCTGGCACAGAAGTGCCAGCTAATACACAGCATTACACAGCAACTGACATCACACAACTCGCTGGCTATTCAATCAAATCCACTCAATGCACAAACCAGACTCGCCCATCCTCCCATCTTAACAAGCGTGCCCACGTCCTTGAGCAGAAACAATCCCACAAATGAGTTTGCCTGTGCCCAAGGCAGGAATAACCCAGTTTGTCTTCCGCAGCACATTTTCCATGTGCCCTTCAGGAACTTTATTCCCTTCTACAGTACAAGTTTTGATTGGGCAGGGCCAGCCACTTGGCAGACCTAGGGCAGACTCACCAGGTAGCCTTTGCCAATATGCATCCCAATGTTTGAACGTCCCCCTACCCATTACTCTCAGGGTTGTCTTAACAGTCCGTTGGATCATTTGGTTTTCTCAGCTGGTTCATGGCACAATAAACCCAACAAATGCCATGTTCTTTGGCCCAAGTGAGTGTTTTCAAAGTATTTCTAGTTTAATCTGTTCAAAGGCTTGGTGTTGCTCAGGGCTTCATGTGAAATCATTCTTCTGAGTCACCTAATAAAGAGGGCTTACGATGAGACTAGTTTGGAAAATGCATTTTCAAAAAACCCACAACATCGAAGAGCTTACTTTTTGAAGAAATGGATTAGAATTTCTTTCCATAGGATCAGGAGTAAATTCAGCCCTTCCACTCTGCCTGGGAAACCATCCACTGGAGATGGGAGTAGCAGCTTTCCTGGAAGAACCCCCATTTGGGATTGTTTTCCTTACAATTCATATACCCGTGTCTATAGGGTCAAGGTAGGTCTTCCATCCCAATTATTCATGCCCTCTCTGTGATCTCTTAGCTAAATCCACAGGGTATCCCATGGTGTGTACCTTCCATATCCTTCCTCTTGAGCCAATGTTTAGTGTCATTAGCATGGGTCTGTAGAGGTGGGAAATAGAGCATACCCTCTTTGAACTGCTTAATCTCCTGGGACATCTTATCTGATAGTTTATCCACGGATGAGATGAGAGGAAGAGGGGCTGTCTTCAAACTCCTAGAGATGGCAAGCCACTGCATCCACAGATGGTGGTGTGATGTCGATCCAGATTAACTTTGCCAGTGGGTTGGTGTGTACTCTTGATACACTCTACAAACTTCCACCACGTGGGTCATGTGCTGAGGAATTGGTCTGGATCTGTGGGGAACCTTGTATTGTCCAGGTCAAAATTAGTCTCTACACAGCTCTAACACAGCTAATTCCCTCAAGTATTGGATATCTTTCCACACTTGACAGGAGTCACTTCCAGAGGCTAAGGACTTGTCTTGTGGAATCACCTTGTCAATGCCTGCTTTCTTAGAAAGCGATTCCTACCCTCTAATTCCAGCCTGTTAGCCCGATTATCCCAGCATCAGAGCAGCCAGGTGGTAGTATGCTCATCAGGACAACAGCTGAAATATTTATGTATATCTTGCAGCTCACTCAGGAATAAGGATTGAGTGGTTGCCTCCTGTGGCCTGTCACTGAAGTTTGTGTACGCACAGTATGTCTTGGTGGGGTTTCAGTAGCCACAGATTGTTTCTTAACCCTAAAGAAGGCCTGAACCATATGCAACAACATACTGATGGTTAACAAAAGGACCAGGTTGGTTTCAAGGGTAGTCACAGGATATGCAAAGTCTTTAAAATTCTAGAATGCTACTGTAATCATCCTGGAGGGGAAGGAAGGTGTTTTTCCCATGAGTTGGCTCTCTGAGGGTAAAAGGCAGTAGATGTAACTGTGGATAGTTTCCACCAGATGGCTCCCAAAGGACGGCAGGGACACAGGCAGGCTCATGACCAGCCATTCTATCATATCACAAGCCAGTACAACACTGAACAACACAGTGATAACCTTAGCCCATGCCCAGGGCAAATGAATCAATATGGTAACCAGCAACTATTAAACCAATACAATGACGGCTTATAACAAACTTGTTTTAACATGCTCTAGTCAGATATGCTTTTATCTCAACCTTTTGAGTCCCATGTTTGGTGCCAAAAAGAACTGCCAACAGCTCAGCCCCATGTGGCTGCTTGCTCACTGTCCCCAGTGGGAGAATTAGGGAAAAAAGTAAAACCAATGGGTTGAGAGAACAGCAATTTAATAATCGAAACAAGGCAAAATAAGATACTAATAATACTAATGACAATAACAACAATACAATAATATGAATTGCAGTGAAAAGGAGAGAGAGGAGTAAAGCTTAAGACAAGTGATGCACAACAGTTTCTCACCACCCACTGATTGATATCCAGCCTGTCCTGCAGCAGCAGTTGGGTCCTCCTGACCAACTTCCCCAGTTTAAATACTGGGCATGATGTTCTGGTGTGGAGGTGGTCACCAAGCACCACGTCTGTTTGAGTTCCAGAAGTGTTTGTACAACATTCTCAGTCACAGGGTATGATTCTTGGGGTGTCCTGTGCAGGGCCAGGAGTTGGACTTCATGATCCTGATGGGGCCCTTCCAGTTCAGTTTATTCTATGATTCTGTGATTCTATGCATATCCCTTTGGACAGCTCAGAGCAGTTGTCCCAGCTGTGCTCTGTCCCTGCTTCTTTTGCACCTTCTCACTGGAAGACCATGGACATCTGAGGACTCCTTGACCTGGAGTAAGCACTACTCAGCAGCAACTAAAAACATCAATGTGTTATCAACTTAATTCTCATATTAAATTCAAAACAGAGCTACTATGAAGAAAATTATCCCAGCTGAAACCAGGACACTGATACTTTTTTATAACAAGTAGTCATTTGATGTCCCTCACAGAGGCCAAAATCTTCTAAATAACAAAGGACTTGGTATGCTTGAAATCCTAAATGAAACAAACAAGGTTACATAAATAATAGTTCAAAGATTTTAAGCCGGTTAATATTTATTGAACATTTCAGAAAAAACTAAGGCATTGAGCTTGACAAAAAATGTGTCTGACACACTGTTATTAAATGTTTATTCTTTTCTGGGATGGGAGGTCTACAAAATGTACTCTACATAGAAGTAGTAACCTATTCATAAATACAGCATCTGATTTTTAAATGCATTAGAAATGATAAACAAATACCATAGCTCTTCAAGGCTTTATCCTTCTCACTCAGAGCAAATAGATAGTTGGTCTCAGGAAGTTTCTTATATACATACTAAGTCAAGGAATAAGCTTATACAATTTACTATGTTTTGTTTTGATTAAGGAAATGGGTGGAGTTCAGGGATCTTTTAAGGTTATATCAGTATTACTCATGCTTCTTAAAACTCCTAATGTCTTTAAACTGTAGATAGTGATATTAAGTCACTCATAGTTGACGTTTTACTTAGAACTCTATTCCTTTTGCACCATTCTGAAAAGCTGGAATGATGTACATGTAGTTAAAGCCCTTGAGCCCACGCAATGAAATGGGGGTGGATGTAGTAAATTCAGCTTCCATATTTAGTCAAGTCTTTTGACCCACATTATTCTTAGAAGAGTTAGGACCCCATCTTTCATTTGCTGTCTTCGACTGTGTCTCAGTTAATCAATATGTACGAGAAGATGCAAAGCATGGAGCAAGGTGCTGTAGTTGTGTGGCACTTGAGAATATGCAATAGAAAGCTATAAATGCAGACAGAGATAAAATATCTCCAGGTACTGGTGCCAGGTATGGCATAGCAGGTGTGAGGAGTTTGTGTACATGTGCAAAGACATTACAGATCTAAGGAAGATATCTAAAGCTTTTAAAACACACTAGTGCACACGAAAGACTTGCCTTTTCACTTGTAGATTGATAGTTCATCTTCTTTCTGTTAACAGAGCAAGAAATGAATGCAGGTTAAATAGTGGCTTTTCTGGTGCTGGGTTTACCCCTTTGGGAGCCTTATATATGAATGCATTTTTCCAGATTTCCAGCAATCCTCAGGGTTTTTTCCCTGTCTCTTAGAAAAAACTTACCATAACAAATCCATTGAATCCTTTTAGATAGCAGTCATTATCTCATAAACCACTGCCAAGCCTTGTCTTTTCAAGTCTTCCAGCTATACTTTTTGTCTAGCTCATGGCCACAACTAAAATAGCTTGAGGAATTCTGACTTACTACTAATAAATTTGAGTGAAATAAACACATACCAAAGGAATAGACCAGACACTATCAGAAAGTTTCTACCAGTTATGTTTTTACAAAACACTTCCTGAAATAACCTGTAGATGTGGGTATGAGAGCAGTTCAATTTGGTTCTCACTGTCTTTTGTCTAGTTTGAAGAGGAAACACATAGAAGCCTATAGCTGAGTTAGGGGTATAAGCTACTATGTGAAAAGACACATCTTTGTGTATTTACTACAGTAATGTAATGATTTACTTTCTGACTAGCACACTGGTTTCTAATAAGGAAACCAGCTAGTGTATAGGATCAGGTTTATCTCAGTGTCAAGAAAGCTACTGCCCAAGAATCGTGTTAGAAAGGCTGTAAAAATCATTACAGTTACTGAATCACCTGAAACATAAATGAGGTTTACAGTGATTTATGTACTACTTGCATCAAGATACTTACTGGGAAGAGCTTTCCTCTGAAAAAGAAAGAAAAAAGGAAAATAATTAGCACAAGAACAGTTCCCTTAGCTGATTTAAAGTTCTTTGAAATAGTTATTCCTAGAATATTCAGCACTTCAGTTTCTAGAAGGAGTTTCTGAACCAAATGTCTCTTTTTGGTGTAGTGAGTTTAGGCAGAAGAAAGATTAGGTTGCTTTCAAGGGTAAATGAAGCTCCAAGTGAATTCTAACAAGCAGCTCTGTAGCCTCTGGTACTTTCAGGCTGCTGACCTTTTCAGACCCCAATATTTGCCATCCATTGTTGCTGTGCTCAACCCTACAGGTACCAATGTAAAGGCTACAGAGAGGGTTGCTGGCTGTCAAGCTTTTTGCAGCAATCTCAAAAAGCAAACTTTTTCCATGACCCAGAGAAAGAAGACAGTTAATCTAGTTTCCCTTTCATCAGAACTTAGCTGTAGACTAACTACAAGGGCAGTAGACTAAAATTGGTTTATTTTTATGTTGCACTTCTTAGGCATTCCTTATCAAAACTAGGGTGGAGAGGTTCCAGGAACCAGGGTCTAGCTTGTTGCTTTCCCTAGGTTGTTGTTTAGTAGCCTTAAGAAACTTCACAAACGTCTCCATGTTATTTTCAAAGTACCTTTTGCAGTAGATGTTGGCAGAATAAAAACATCTGCACAAAATGTTGCTGTTTTAATGCTCTCCAGCTTTAGCACCATGGAGTTAGAACCTTCATGGAGAGGAGGACATGTCATCACAACCATAAAATTATGGAATGGTTTGGCTAGGAAGGGACCTTAAAGATCATCTAGTTCCAGCTCCCTGCCATAAGCAGGGACACCTTCCACTAGATCAGGTTGCTCAGGACTCCCTCCAACCTGTCCTTGAACACTTCCAAGGATGGGGCATCTACAGCTTCTCTAGGCAAGGGAGAGTGTCATGGAAACTCTGCTAAATAAAGACATTTTTTAACACAAGGAAGGAGTGATTTTATTCTACTTACTTGCAAAGTAGCCCTTTTTTTGGGCATAGAATACTCCAAGACCACATAGTACCATCACCAGAGCCACAAATACTACAGCCATAATGATACCGCTTACATTAAGGTCATCTGTAATTATAAAGCAGAAGTCCAATGTTCTAAATTGTAACAATGTCTACTGACTGGATTTTTACCTAACTACCACAAGCATTTTTTGTATCTACAGATGGTCTTTGGCCTAAGATACATATATTAATTTGTAACACTTAGATGTTTTTAAGGAGTAAAAAAGCAGTAATGTGCCACAGCCACTTTGACAGAAGTTCTTGGTACACATCAACTTTTAGTTTGAGTCAAAAAGTAAGGAAATAATAAGGACCAAAGGATACATATTCCTCATCATACATACTCTCCAGATAAGTATTACCCAAGTCATATGTCTCTGAGGAAAAATATCTTAAAATCTTTGTAAGTGTTAAAGCAAGTTTCTTCATATAGTTAATTTGCTTAACACAAATGAAATAGCTGATAGCAATTGGGTTCCACTTCTAAAGAACTCTTCAAATCAGTTATTTGAAACGCAACGATTTTTTAATTTTTAAATAGCAAGGCTTTTAAAATACAACACAATAAAGCTGAGTTGCCTGAAGTTAAGCTTTACACCAGCCTACTGAAACATCTGGCCATTTTTATTTTGAAGGTGATGGCTTGAATTCAAGCACGACAAGGACCACACCCATATCCTGATATAATCACTTAGAGCTTCAGACTATCATCCATTGTAGGAAAACCAAAATTATCAACAAGCAGAAACATTTTCATTGGTTTTTGTTATGTTTCCAATTACTTATTTGGATTCTAACTCAGGCATATACATAATACTGAGATTCTATCTCAGTAGCTTGGGGAACATTTGCTCATAATCCACCAGGAATGCATTGAAACCCATGACACAGTGATTTTCAGCTAAGTCCCAAGAAAGCACCATGTGGAACTTTGCAATTCCATGTACTGCTTTATGGAAGATTTGGACAGGATCTTCTCTGCAGTAGTTATTAGGATTTGTTACCATTTGTTTTCCTATGGTATCTGCAAGAACCAGTTGTATATTTTGCAAAAATCTTCATGCATTTTGGGTTATTACAGACTGTTACATTAAGATTTCCGATTAATGAATCCCAAAAGGGAGGCTTTACATAAAGAAAACACCCCAGTTAACTGGCACACTCTTCTGTAAGCCTTCCACAAAAGCTTTTGGAAATATTAACAGTCTTATATATAGGCTGATGCTTTTCTGTGAAGTTCAGTGTTTAGCAATCTAAAAGCTAACTACTGTGATAAGGAACTTAGTATTTCTCCTCCCTGCAAATGTCACAACTAAATAAAAATATTTAATTCAATCTGGTCTTAGCTTCTTAGTTGTACCATGCAATTACATAAATCCTACTGCAAGACTGTTTTCCACTACTATTTTCTTTAACACATACCAACTTGCATTCTCTTCACGGAGCATTTCTGAGATAATCCAATCCCATTGGAGGCTTCACAGAAATACTCTCCAGTATCATTCTTTGTAACTGTATTAAACAGCTGTTAAGAAAGAGTCCAAAAACATTATCAGAACAGGGAAAAAAATATTTCCTATTGGATAGAAATGCTGGCATGTCAATGTGTGTATTTGTTTGTTTTAAATAAATAAAACCTAAAAAACCCCTGAAGGCAAGTAAGAAATTCAGGTCCATTTCAACCTTGTAACAGCTCCTTAGTCACATCCCTTGGTCCTTCTACTTGTTGCCTAAGAGATTCCTTTAGATGGACATTTAACTAAGTGGAGTGTATCTACAAGGAAATTAATTTTCAGTGGATCAGAACTTTCCAATAATATCCACTTTTTAAGATATGCTCTAATTTCAGGATACCTGAAATCAAACAGTTTGTTCATTTTATCAAAACAACAACCCCATTAACTGATCCTTCAAAAAACTTGACACATATTACTTAGGATGCATTATCAGCTGAAATGTTTTGGAAGTAAGAGTTGTTTGGGTTATTCTCAACCCTCCAAAAATATATTTTATGTCTTCCAACAGAGAAATGCTAAAACACACTATTTATCAAATACTACTACTGTAAAAATGAAAATGAGGAAGTGAGACTGTAGCAGGACATCTCCCTCCACCACAGAAGAGCTTAGCTCTTGCTTGGTAGCTGATGCAATAATTCAGGGCATCTTGCTCTCACATGAGCCTCACATGATCCTTGGTGAAGTAATTAAATTAGGACAGCTTGCTGTGTAGTGAATTATTTCATCATCATGGGATTGATGCTTTCAGCTGACAGTAAACATCTTCCTGGAAGCAGATGTGGGAAGACAAGCTGGAAATTCTGACTGACATACACTTCACTTTACAAATTATAAAAGCTACACCATATTTTCACAAAGCAGAAATCTTCTGCACATTCCCTGAAAATGTGTGGGGTCTTCTCCCCACAGTCAGGATGCACTTTGTGGTTACTCACCTAGGGGCTGAGTGAAAGGACTCTGTGTATGCTATTGGCAATTCAGTGGTAAATTACGTTGACTCCTAATCTATACTATTTTTTTGCTTGCTATGATATAGGTACCTTAATGTTGTGCACTGTTTTATGTAACCTATTAGTAGTTCTTTTATTTTATACTGTATAATAAGTAGCTGTTTAAGGCCTCTTGTCTGTTACCTTTTGCCAATTCAATAAGTAACTCATTTTTTAATAGACCTAACTGTCTATTCTTAAGAACTTGCAAGCCAGAGCGATTTAGGTTCAGGTCACCTAAGTAGAGCTGCTGCCAAAAATCTAAGGCTAAGGCAGGGCTTGTCTAAATCTCTCACTCGATCCGTAACAAAGAGATGGATAGAGATTGACCTCATGTCAATTCCCGTGTTTCTATTTTTTTAATCACTAGACTTGTTTACTGTTTCTTTTTAATGTATGCCATACTTTGATATTTTCAGAAGGGATTAGTAAGTTTGAGTAGTTCACCTGATTCTGTGATGTGCTGAAGGATCCTCAGAACATCTGAATGCTTAGTCATATTTCAGTTTCCATGTTTGATTTTTCACGAGTAATGTCTGTAGAACAACTCTTTACTTCTTAAAAATCTCAGCACCCTAAGCAGCATCAAGTTCTTTTGAAGGACCAGCTAATGAGGGAAGCAAGAGAGACAGCTAGTTCTGAAGGAAAAGAAACCCAACACCACAACCCACAAAACAAACTACAACTAAAATGAAGAACTAAACTTAATTACAGTCCCAACTCATTCCCACTGACTTCACAGATCCTGGATGGGAACTTGTAAATGGCACTGGATTGCAGAGAATCTGTACTGCCCTGAGTGCTGCACTCCCCCTGAAGTGTATGAAGCTACTAGTCCACATTTTAAGGTTCTGTCAAATATAGTTCTGCTGCCATACTGAACCTCATTCTCACCTGGCCCTAGTTTACCAGCTGACAATATAAAATTTGTCACGTATTTCTAGATTCTCAGTTACCACTACTGCAGCCTGGCACCTCACCCAATTTGTGTGTATCACTCAATGTCTATGGCTTGTCACTGGTTTGAGGCAGAAACTACCTTCTACATTTCTCAGCACATATTTCAGCATGACACTGTCCTCCAAAAAAGACCTTGTGAGCTTTTGGATTTAGACCCCTGTGCATCATTGTACTGAACAGTAAATTTGGTCTCCTTGATAGCTGTCTATGACAGAGTTGGTAATTACACTTACCAGAGTGCCAGACTTTTTATTCATGGTGTAAGTTATGTTTGCTTCTCTAGCACTGCCTGTTCCTGTCTTCTCCAGCAAGGCAACACCATTCTTGTACCACTGGTACTCAGATGGAGGGGAGCCCTCGGTTTCCTTACAGGTCATCTGCACGACCGTTCCTGTCATTGCGGAGCTGGGTACCTCACACACTGGAGTAGTCGGAGCAACTGGACAGTGAAATTGCACTTGTTACACATGTACTTACACTGTCCACATGTGTCAGAGACTGAAATAGTTCATGCCCCAAATATTGATATAAAGTTTTGCCTTTTATAACAATAACTATATAAAGAAGCTACAACCAAAGAAGCCTCCCTGAAGATACCTGACTGAGACTGGACTGAAAGTCAAATTGCTGAGATTAGATAAAGGGAAAACCCATTCTTCAATCACCTGAAACAAACAAGTAAACAAGGAAAATAATGTGAGCCAAACCCAGAAGCTGTGCTAAGAGTCATCTCTGGCTTGCTTTGGGGTGGGGGAGGCTGTAGCCCACAGACATGTTTGCTGTGAGCAGTTTTGCACAGATTTTCCTCCCATCCAAGGCGTGGGGATGAAGGTTCAGTGAACTGCATGTGCTGCAAAACACCCAGAGTCTGTTCTAAGAGACAATGGAAAACTCCCCCTTCCCCCAAGGGAGGTGCCTGGATTTTCCTACCTAGCCTGAGTGTATATTACCAATCAGATTCTATGCTTTTGCGAGGGACCTTCACCACCAAGAAGACCAGCTGGAGAGGATCAATGAAACATCATTTGAATCCACACAGTGGTGGTATTTTCCTTATTCTGTCCCCCTGTTAATCTCTTTCTGTCCCCCCCATCTATTTCCTATTTCTCTTTTCTCTCTCTCTATTTCTCTATTTCCCTCTCTCTCTCTCTCTCTCTCTCTCCTATTTAATATTAAATAAACCCCATACTATTGTCACTGGCATATGTCTCGTTTGCAGCTTAATTCAGGCAGAGGCATTTCTAAGAACTTTAGTAATGGGATCAACAACAGTCTGGCAGTAATTGTGAGGAGGTGAGTACTTGTGCACGTTTGATAACTACCACATCAATGAAATGAGGTGCAGGAGAAAGGCTAGAAGGTACAATCCTGCTACTGAGAGCACAGTAACATTTATGAGTTGCTAAAAATGGAAGAGGTGCTTACTGCCAGCCTCCCCCCACCATATGCTCTGTCATCCTGTCTCAAATCTGTGTACTTTCATCCAACCCCAGAGAGTTTGTTTCACTTAATTTCTTGTATGGAGCCTCTTGTTCACAGACAGAGATGGAATAACTCAGAATCTGTAGTTCACCAATTGCCCCCTTCCCTGCTCTAGGATTTTAAAACTAGTGAGGAAGTGAGGAAGACCAAAAAGAGTTTTTGTATAAAAAAGGAGTAAATTTTTGAGAAGTGATTGTCAGAAAGATTAACTGAGACACTGGCAGTCATCACAGGCACTTTGTAAACCCCAGTCTGAGGACCAAAACCAATTGGTTACTGCATTTCAGTTTAAATTAAAAATGAACATTCCCTCACACAGATGCAGGAGAACTGTTTGTTCCTTCTCCTATGGAGATGAATGTCTCTTTTTTGATTTTTAATATGTGAACAGAAGAGAAACTTTTTTATTTTTCGGTACTTAACATTATATAGAAGAAAAATAATGGTGAAGAGGCATCCATGGAACATTAAAAAAACAACTGACACCTTAATTAGTATTGATAGTTTTTTCTTGGTTGATTTAAAAATAAAAAGCAGAAATAAAGAAAATCAATAGTAATAGTAATTCACATTAACTTTCAAAAAGGTTTGTAAGCAACACAACATGCCCCATCCCGCTCTTTCTCCCTTGGCCTCCAAGATTTCAACTTTAAAATAAGAAGCCACATTTAAAACAGGAAAGCTATTGAGAAAGTAGAAGAAAGAAAGAGTAAGTGGAGTTACCTCATTGTTGGCGCTAATCAGAAGTTCATGCATTTATCATCCTTTATGAAGAACTTAGAGACTTTACATATAATTTTTAAAGACAAATTATTATTATTTTTAATAGGACAAATAAAGACTCTTCAAATACAAGTATTTTCTTTTGTCCCTGCACAGGTAAAAAAGGAAAACTATTGGCCTCTACCACTCATCCAGTGGGACAAATACCAAACCCAGTGTGAGAACAATGTGCTCAGTATTCACTTTTCCATCCATTCCCTAACTGGGAAAGAAAACAAAGACCCATAAAGAACAACTGCTCCCCAGCAGGCACCACCATCTCTCCTGTAAATAAAGTCCACTGATTGCCAGATCTCTGGCTGTCATTGCACAGAAACTCTCTCCTTCCAAAACCAGGAGGAGACTGTAGCATATTAGAACGAACTTCTGCTTATGAATATTTAATAAGTGTTGACAGATGCTGACTTTCTAGTGCCAAACACCATGATCATCTTATCCAGATTCTCAGTCACTGAGCAATTTCAGTTTTGAGAACTGAAACTTACTTTGATATAATAAAACCCCAAGTTATGTCCCTTTCTAATGCAAGTGTGACCTTTGCTAAGCTGTTTTGTGATGTTGCAGAATGTTCATGTGCAGGTGTGTTTATAAACCTAGCTCAAAGAACACCCAAAAACCCAGAAGCCACAGACTACGACAACCCTACCTTCAACATCCCAACACCGCATCATCCAGTTCCTTTAAAAAGCCTAAGTAATAAAGTTTGTACCCAATACTGTGAGAGTAATAGTAGCCTCTCCCAGGCGTTGCCCCTCTTCGCTCTTGGCACTGATTTCACAGCGGTAGGTCCCAGAATCCCTTCTAGTCACATTCCTAATTCGGATTCCTGTATTCAGCATCTCTGCTCGGCCTCGAAGGTCACCTTTAGGGAGAACAGACAGACAGGTTTCTGCTCTTTGCTTATAGAATCATAGAATCACAGAACAGTTTGGATTGGAAGAGACCTTAAAGATCATCTTGTTCCACCCCCACTGCCATGGGCAAAGACACCTTCTGCTAGACCAGGTTGTTCCAAGCCCCATCCTGGTCTTGAACACTTCAAGGGATGGGGCAGCCACAGTTTGTCTGGGCAACCTGTGCCAGTGCCTCATTACCCTCACAGGGAAGAATTTCCTTTATATATTTCCTCTGAATATCTAACCTAAATTTCCCTTCTTTCTGTCCGAAGCAAACATCTATGGCTCACTGGCTTATTCTGAAATCCTGTAATATTTCTTGATATTTTATGTCATACTGTACATGAAACTATTTGTTAACAGTGTTAGTCACCTATCAGCAAAGAGCAATATATAATCCCTTTCTCAAGACACTATGAACCTTCCATTTAGTCAAAAAAAACCACCCTCAATGCAAAAAACCTCCATCTGCCATACATTACACAGGTGGAAGATGGAATGCATTTTTCTGCAGGTGTTTCAATAAAATATGTATAGCAGTAGTGACTGAAAGACATCTCTTTCCACTAGAGACAAGGCAATCACTAACTTAATTACCTTAAAGAAAAAGTTGTGAGACCACAGCAGAGTATTTGACATTTTAACTTGGCAAGAAAAACTTGATGGATTTAGCAAAGATATTGCCATCAGACTTCTTACAATGAAGAAGTTTTTTTAATTCTACAGCTTATTATGAAATTCAAGTTACATGCACACATAGAACCATGAGTTCCAGTGTTTCTCTAAAATAAATATATGCAGAAAAACCCCAAGTTCACCATCAAGGTCAACTCATCTGCAAGTTCTACAAACTAACGAAATTTCTTCGCTTTTATTTTATTTTCAACATTCACTTATTGTGTACAATGTAACAGAGACCTGTACGTTCTCCAACACACAAAGCTGAGGTAAGTACTTTTCAGAACATGAAAAGAAAAATTCTACTTCTGAAAAGAATACAAGTAATTTTAAATATACAGCTGAGTTTATATTTTATGTATATAAAAAATGCTGCATTATTCATATCTAAGCCTCCTGCTTTACAGGAGGCTCTAGAAACTTCTTTTTAGGATAAGAGTGCAGAGCCTGCAGCAGTTTAGGGGAGTTTGCATCCTCATATAATTTCATTGTTGAAGAATCCAAAGGAATCTGCCATGCCATTTTTCTTAGTCTTGAATTTTACTATATTTAACTGCATTAAAAGTTAACTAATAATTGATGATTTTATAAAGAAATGCCTTTTTTTCCCCCAAAGAATTATTTTTCTCAAAAGGACAGCTCTTCTATATGAACACTCAAGAGCCTCCTTGTTCAGTCTTATTCTTGATGATGTTCCCCAAGAAAGAGTAAATAGCTATGCTAGAGAATGACATGTTAAACCATCTGTTTGTAGTACTGTACCTGTAAATTCACTATTGTAGTAGACAAATGAAACTCCTTGAGATTGGATTTTCTTCCACTCTATTCTTAAACTCATCCCTTTCGAAAATTTGTGTTTGCAACTAAGAATAGCCTCTAAAGGGAAGAAAAAGAATGAAGACAAAAGGGAAAATTAGAGATTTTAGTATTGCATTGGTACACATTCAGGATCCATTAAAATTCATGTTCCCCCTTCAAGAGAACTTTACAGTCAGCAATGGCCAGATCTGTTTCTCAAAGTGATACTTCTCCAGATTTACACAAACACAGTGGAGAAAAAGAAACAAGTATACTTATATTTTATATTATATTCTTATATTACTGTATTATTATATTATTACATTATAATAATAACATAATATAATAATACTATTATTATAGTATATTATTTATATTTAATATTATTTTATATTTAATAGTATATAATTATATAGTATATTCCTATACTTCAGTGGCCTTTGGGTCAAACTTCAGATTCTGGGGACTAGATATTTCCATGCTGGATAGGGTTTATTACTTTCCCCATCCAACATGGGAATATCTAGTTCATCAATTACATTCTTTATTACTACCCTCATTTTAGCTTAAACATTTTTGAGCAGATCACCCCTAAAAAAGGGACTCTGACCCTGTTATGAACATATTTTCTGAATTACCATTCTGAATTCAGTATCAGTAGTTTTTCTGTTTAAATGTATAACTTAATGGAGATTGAAAATATTCCAATAAGACAGTTAAAGAAACAAATGCAATACAGACCTTGCTACCTGTAGGCTACTAATTTTCCAATACAGGCCACATATCCAGAGCAAAAGCCTTTATAGTTTTGACATGGCTTATCTAACTCTCATGATGCAAATATGCACTGCTCAAACATAATCAACCACCATCCTCCTTTCCACTCTCAGCAAATGAGGCTGAAATGCAATTAAGAGCTACTGATAGATCTTCTCACTTGCCCTTCAGAGTCTGATTTCCTAGGTCTGCTCTGAAAAGAAACAAAAACCCAGAGAGGTCGTCTTGATGATATCTCACAGGGAAAAAAAAATATCCAGACTTGAAAGAAAAATTGAGACAGGAGGGCATTCCTTGCCAGAAACATGTTACACATGCACTGGCCGTTTTGAAAAACATATTGTGCACTCAGGAAGTCTGAGGTTCCTGACTTCAGATTAAGTGGATGGGTGGAGGCTTCCTGAATCTTAAGATTTGCTAGTTTCCTTCCCATTTTGTTTTTGTGTCCTTCTGACAAAGAAAAACCATAATTCAAGCTCAGCTTGCTTTTGCTACTGGCCTTGTGACAACTGGCTCGTCAAATGAACTGGTCTCTATTAGCTGACACAGAGACATCTCAGCTGAAGCATTCTCAGCTGAACAAGTCACCTCTCTTGAATGAGCTGCCCCTTTCTTGCATGCCACGTGTTTTTATTTCAGAAAAAAACCCTAGCATTGATGCCCACCCACTAGTCTTATTCAGAGAAAATGAATGGATGGAAGGAATGAAGTCAGAGAGAGGTATTTTCCAGAGCTGGTGCACTTGACTTGCATTAAAGTAGACTCACAGGATACTGTGCATCAGCACTGGTACTGCTAGACCTGCAAAAGCCCTCTGGAATCTTGGAGAGATCTGCACAATATTTAATTTGGATTTACATCTGGTCTGGAGGCTATCATTGGTGATAGAATTACAGAATATATCAAGTTGAAAGGAACCCTAAGGATCAGTGAGCGTAGCTCCCTGCTCCTTGCAGAACTACCTAAAATTAAACCATGACTGGGAGTGTCACCTAGATGCTCCTTGGGTTCTGTCAGGCTTGGTGCCATGACCACTTCCCTGGGGACCCTGTCCCAGTGCCTGACCATCTTCCTCTACAGTAACAGGAATTGGAAGAGAAAAGGAAAATGCATTTCAGACCAGCTGCACTCAGTGGAACAACTGTCTATCAGCCCTACCATCCCTTAGTGCTGCTACACATGGAGAACTTGGCTTGGCATCTGGGCTGTGCTAAACTGATTTAATTCAATGTATAAATAACAAAAGAACAAAATGCAAGCCATATACCATATAAAAAGACAGAACCTAATCAAGCTTTAATATTACCTGAAGCATTTCTCTCTGCTTTTGCCTGCCTTGAGCTCTAAATGTATTCTGTCAAGAGAAGAATAATTAACAGAAGTCCAGATGACACAGAGACCTCTAAATTATTTATTACCTCAAGAAGATGAATGAGATTTAAAGCTCAGAGAACAGGGTTTCTTTATTCCAAATTCCCACCTCTCTCCACTCCAACCAAATTCAAAAAATAAACCCACATAACCCATAAACCTCAGACTACAGTATACCCCTCTCTCATCCACCCAGCAAACAGGTTTTCCTCTTTGCCTCTGTAAGTTCCCCACCCCAGTATTGAAAGTAGTTTGCCATTTTATATATGACACATACATATATAACTATGTAAATAGCCACTATAGCTACTGACAAGTAAAAATAGCCATTAAATTATTGTTACTTATAATTAGCTAACTTATACCTGTTCTCTCTAGTCCCTCACTTTTCTGTCTGTAAGATATTTAATGTTTCTCCTTTCCATTGGCTCCCATAATATTGTGTGTAAGGAAACCAGGCAGAAGTTACAGGACTGACAAACAAGTCATAGAACCATAGAACAGGTGAGGTTGAAAAGGATCTCTGGGGAGCACCTAGTTCAACCCCACCTTGAGTAAGAGAAAATAGGGACAAGACCAAGATAACACAGAATCAGTGGAGAGAGTAGGCACAAGACCCCTCGGGAAAGAGGAAGACAACCTCAATAGCTGCACAGGTTCTGTATACAGTTTGCATATATTATGTATATATTAAAAATTATCGCAACAATGCCCATACTGTACCCTTAAATTCCTCTGCTTTTACATTTTTGTTATCTGTTTCAATGGAGATTCCAGACACATCAGGATCTGCAAGGGGACAGCAAAAAAAGACAATTCAGCAATAAACATTTTTGATTTCATATGTGCTTCGGCAGCTACAAGCAATATTTTTGAGAGCTCCTCACACTGTACAAGTTAGACACTGCCTATGAGAAAGAGTACAAACTGAAAGCTAGACCAGGGCTGTCCTTGAACAGTTCATCTCTTTTCTCCAGGCTCTGGCATATGTAAAAATAAGTAATGTTTATTTTTTTACAATAACATAATTATATTTACATGTAAGAAGTTCTATATAAACACTAAACATTTTATATTGGGGTAATGTCTCAGTCTGTTTATAACTGGGAAGATATATATTAATCCATAAGTGTATTTTCCATTACATTCTTATTTCAGGCATACAAGTTTGTGGAAGAATACCACTTACAGATTCTACAGGGTAAAATATATGTACAGTAATTGACAATTATCTCCTGTTCTTGTTGAAATGGGAAGGAAGATAATCAAGATTTATCTAGTTTTAATTCAAAAAGAGAAAAAAAACTCCCCATACACTCCTGGATATCTCATCGCTGCATTCCACTAAGGTGGAACTTCAGGGGGTTCTTTTAAAACAGATGACCAAGGGTGGAATTAAGTGAAACAAGGCAAGTATTGTATCTGAGAACCATTTATGGGAAGTGTTGCTCTGCTAAGAAAGAACAGAAAAGACAGAAAAGGAACAAAGAGAAGGAAAAAGAATGGGCAGAGAAGGAGAGAGGGGGACAACAGAGAGAAAAAATGGGAGTTTTGAGAATTTCAGTGTGCTGTCAACATCCAGCTGGCAGGTGGCATGTGCACATGCCCTGCTGGGGGGAGCCTTTGCAGCTCTTGGAGCAGAGGCACAGCTCCTGCATCAATGGGTGACCAGACACCAGGTGAGCGGGTGCTAGGGCAGAAGGCGCAGAACCCTGGACAGGGTCATGATGGGGATCATGGTGACAGGCTAGATCAGCAACAAAGAGTTGGGAGCAAGAACAAGGCAGGCAGGGACGAAGCAGATAGGGCATCAAGCAGAAATGCAAGTAGGCAGGACAGGCAACAGCTGGAGCATATGAGGGAGATGAAGTGGTAACGCAGGTGTCTCGGTTTGGAAGAGAGGTGCCGGCTAGGGAGGGCAGGAGCCTCACTTGGAATGAAAACGTAGACACCCTCCCTCTGAATTATTATAATTTTGAAATCAAGGGGCTCTCAGGCAGAGATCTGGGGATAGGAATTACAGTTCTTTACCAGTGTGTATAACCAGGCACACAAACAACAATAACTACAGCATTACCAACAAAACAGCAGCAGGGACCCCGTGACAGCCTTCTGGGCCGAGACGGGAAGGGATGGAGGAGAGGCTTTGCTTCACAAACCCCTGGGGCAGTCAGTGCCGGTGCTCCTGCAGGGCTCTGAGGAACACTCAGCTGGAACAGCAGGGATGAGCTGAGATCCTGGGCTGGGGGATCCTGGAGGTGGATCAGCAGCTCCACGGCGGTGGCTGGCACTGCCACACGTCCCGGCAGGACAGGGGGTGTGAGGCCACCAACAAAGAGGGAAGAAGGAGAAGAAGCAACAGCTCTGTCTGGGTGATGGCGAAATTCCCTTCTCCCCGCAGCAACAGCTCCAGCAAAAAGTGTCATCCTCTGAAGCTGAAGAAGCTGCCAAACTGTCCCCAGCCTCCCCTTTTCCTGCACCCCTTCTCCCCTGGGCCCGGCCGAACTCTTTGTGTTTCTCAAGCACCCACCAAGTACCCGCGGTCAGGTTCTTCCCCCCGAAACTAATGGGTAAAAATTCCACAGGTGAGCCAGAACTAAAAGAAGGACACACCTAACCCCCAACAGCAGGACACAGGAAGTAGTCAGCAAGTGTCCAGCCAGGGAGAGGGAAAGCAAGTGAGCAAGGGCAAGCGAGGGCCAGTGAAGGCAAAAATGGGGGCACCTAGAACCACCCAGTCAGGGCAAAATAACAAAAAGCTCTGAAGCTTGTGACACTGTTACTTTTATAACTCCTGGCTCCTCCCAAGTTCTGCAATGTTGACAGGAGATCATCGGCCCAGTCCAACATTCCACTGCAGCTCATTACCCTTTCACCATCTGTCTGGAGAAGCTCTTTGGAGGTCAGTATCCTGTCTGGTTTCCTACTGACTGCCTATGATATGTGACATGTGAGATGGCTGCCAGGCAAAGTCTCCTGAGGTATGGGGCTTTCCATCTTCTCCTCGCTGCCTCCTGCAAGTAGCACTTCTTCAGCCTCTCTCCCCACACCTCTGGTAATTTCAAACAATATTGAGACAGAACTCAAAATTAAATTGGTTCCTTACACTCATGTATTGGGAACTCTGGAATTTCAGACAGAACAAGTGAAATAACCACTAGACCTACTCCCACCCAGCTACCAGGAGTTGGTCACAAGTATTACAATTAGTCCATGTTAGGCTAGCAAGTGCTTAACAACAGCTGAACACAGTTCTTAACACGGGTCTACTTTTTTTTCCCCAAAAGCATCTCAAGTTCCCTTGATTTAGTTTTGAAGACAGCACAGACACTTCTAATGCAGTCCATTTCCTCCGTCTGCATCAGCCAACTGAACAACTGGTGTAGAGGGTATGGACAAGAACTGAGAACATGTTTCCATCAACGTTTAGAAACTTGACTTGGATAAGAACAATTTTCTTTTGACTGATAGAAACTAATAAAATAACAAGATTAGACTTTCTTAAGCACACAGACCTCCTTTGTCCATCCCTAAATAATTTCCCTTTCCCCTTTTTAATGGGAAAAAGAGCTGCACACACCCCACCAGATGAATATCTAGTCTTCACCTGAAGAAACAAACAAATTAACAATCTCTTGATTCTTATGGCTTTCTTTTAACAGTTGATTACTTCTGTTGAAGTTAGTGCCTCACTTCTGCCTTGAGTGAGTCTATATGGGCTTTCAGTGCTCAAAGCTAACACGCTGTTTTCTTTATGTGAAGATACCATCATAGAAACTTAGAATGGTTTGTGTTGGAAAGGATCTTTAAAGGTCATCTAGTT